ATCTGCCTGTCAATCTCCCGTTCCATCCTTCCCTCACTCGTGAACAAGACCCCACGATACTTGAACTCCTCCACTTGAGGCAGGGACTCTCCACCAACCTGAAGGGAACAAGCCACCCTTTTCCGACTGAGAACCATGGCCTTGGATTTGGAGGTGCTGATTCTCATCCCAGCTGCTTCACACTCGGCTGCAAACCGCCCCAGTGCATGCTGGAGGTCCTAGTTTGATGGGGCCAACAGGACAACGTCATCTGCAAAAAGCAGAGACGAGATCCTGTGGTCCCCAAACCGGACTCCCTCCGGCCCCTGGCTGCGCCTAGAAATTCTGTCCATAAAAATAATGAACAGAACTGGTGACAAAGGGCAGCCCTGCCGGAGTCCAACATGCACTGGAAACAAGTCTGACTTACTGCCGGCGATGCGAACCAAGCTCCTGCTCTGGTCGTACAGGGACCGGACGGCCCTTAGCAAAGGGCCCCGGACCTCGTACTCCCGGAGCAGCCCCCACAGGGCGCTGCGAGGTACACAGTCGAATGACATCCCTTTCATAGTTATTGATCATTCAGGAGATTTTGTGCCAGTTTCCGAGTGAGGTGATTCTAGTGCAGCTTTAAAGGTGTGAACATTATAAAACTGGTCTGAACTCAGTTTAAAGCTAGTTTTTACATATAGTCCTAACTTGTTTTAACAGCATTTCAGTGACTATGTTTAAATTCACCACATTTCAATATGTTTATTAAACACAACTGAGCAATCTTGATGGCAGATCACCAGAAACTACAACCATAATGAACTTGTCTCATCTATTTGATTTCACCTTCTGCTGTCAGTTTAAAGCTGAATAAATCCATTTAATGTGTACTGTAAATGTAAAAATGTGTATTATGAAATAGAAATGAACAGTGATGTGCGGGCAGGGGAGGCAGGTGAGGCAGAGCCTCCCCTGTCAATCTTGAAAAGAAAAAAAAGTTAACCATAAAATATAAAATATGTTAATATTTGTCGGCTGGTGTGTGTTGTAGGCCCTTTTGCCGTTCGAATCTGATGTTGAAGGATTTTTTTTCAATAAAGAATAGCAGAATTTCCGTATGTCCCGTTCAAATACATGGAGGAGATGTGCGATGAGGCAGCACTTTGCTGTGCCTCTCGGTGGATCGTGTAATCCTCACAAACTGTATGCGATGCAAACAGTGTGTCGCTGTCCCTCTATATATCACAAATAAAATGCTTTCAAACACTTTGATTATATGCTCTGCCTTGCCATAATCTGGATAATGTATAAAATGTAGTTCTGTAACGTGTTTAGGCTC